CTCGGACCACCAATACACTCTCTGTGTCTCTCTCGTCTGTACGTCCATGTGTTCCTCGGACCACCAATACACTCTCTGTGTCCCTCTCATCTGTACGTCCACCTGTTCCTCGGACCATCACTACACACTCTCTGTGTCTCTCCCGTCTGTACGTCCATCTGTTCCTCGGACCACCAATACACTCTCTGTGTCTCTCTCGTCTGTACGTCCATGTGTTCCTCGGACCACCAATACACTCTCTGTGTCCCTCTCATCTGTACGTCCACCTGTTCCTCGGACCATCACTACACACTCTCTGTGTCTCTCCCGTCTGTACGTCCATCTGTTCCTCGGACCACCAATACACTCTCTGTGTCTCTCTCGTCTGTACGTCCACCTGTTTCTCGGACCACCAATACACTCTCCGCGTGGCTCCCGTCTGTACGTCCATCTGTTCCTCGGGCGCGTGTCTCTCTCGTCTACGCTCACTACGCAGCAAAACTGTTTTTTCAACGGGCCACTCACTCACAAACAATGCGGTACAACACACGTACACACACACATAAGACCTCAGTCAGACCATCAACTGCCAAACTTGACATTCAGCCAAGTCCCATGTATTGCGCACACTCGCGGAAACAACAGGGAACCACAGAGAAGAAACGGTTTGCTTACAGTTACACATTGCAAGTTTGGAAAAGTCCACAGATCTTGAGAATAAAAATCAATAAAACATGACTAGTACTTGAAATGTCAATGAAGGTTATACATATATTAAGTACACAATTTGTCTCAAATGATAAAGACAGGATACAAAATCTGATACAGATGAAATACCCAAGTCCATGCACATTGCTCAAAGTACGAAAAAAAAAAATGGATTTGGAACCTGAAAATATTTGTGCCCCCAGTAGACAGACAAACTTAGCCTTTGTGCCCCCAGTAGACAGACAAACTTAGCCTTTGTGTCCCCAGTAGACAGACAAACTTAGCCTTTGTGTCCCCAGTAGACAGACAAACTTAGCCTTTGTGTCCAGTAGACAGACAAACTTAGCCTTTGTGTCCAGTAGACAGACAAACTTAGCCTTTGTGTCCCCAGTAGACAGACAA